AACTCGAGCAAGAAGTGATACTTGATTGTTTTTTGACAATTACAATTGTGTTTCTCATACAATTGCATAAGTCATATTAAAATATAATAAATTTTCCAAATTTCTTGGTTGAGAATATCATTTTCGAATGTATATTTATTCTATTCGAATATTTTACATTCTTTACTAACAGAACATGTTTTAACAGAAAATTGAGATCATGAATATTTTCCAAAATAAACAGTTTTTATCGCCTCCTGAATTTTTTACAACAATGGAGCTGCCGCCTTTTTGCATCGGTGTGTTCAATCTTAGTCAATGTCAATGAACATACTTCAGTCCCGGAAGTGCCAATTCAAAAGTAGAGTTCATTCTCTTCAGGTTGAACTTTTATCATTGTTTTTATCTCTTGGAGGAAATTCCTATAATGTTCGAGGAACATAATACGTACCCAGGGAGAATAGGAAGAGGAGGTAGGAGTCGAGTTCGTCTGACTGGTATTGTTATACTGTGATGGAATTATAGCAGAGATTTCTGAGGAACATTTCCCGTGGAATCATACATAGGAAAGTGAAAGGTCGCCGATTTTTCCACGGTGTTTCAATGAGGTCAAAGAGTGAGTGAGCGAATGGCTTTTCTCTGGATGGGCTCTAAAAGCATCAGCGTATGTTTGGGTGCTGAACCTCATACATGAGAACAGTGTTCTGAAACTAGCCGTATCTGTGCTTCGTAGATCACGAGAAACTGTTGAGATGCATAAAGTAGATTTCCGCACGGAACAATATAAGTTTTTGAGAAGCAGCTATATTCAAATAATCGTCACCGATGAAATGAACAAAGTCCAACATGATAGGATGGAATATTCATAAAGCTGTTCTATTGGGATCCGTCATAATGAAGAAACTGATGGAATTATGATCATTCCATGTAGCTTCAGTGAAAACATGCCGTCATACTTTGAGGTAGGAAGGAATAAGTTCTCTCTCGAGGATTCTGGAAGTAGAATAGGTAAATATTGACTTGGAAATGCTGCTGTTTCAGGAGTTGAATTCTCATAAATGAATCAAAATAGGAAATTCCAATTTCTGTTTATTATAGTACCAACAATACCATTCATAGGCCACATACATTTCTGAATAATTTGTCAAGGTATCCAACTTCTTCATCATTCATGGCGATCCAAACTCGATAATCTCGATAAAAAGGTATTCCAGGGAACTCTAATAATAACTATGCTATAACGCATAATCCATCAATAATACAATCTCGGATAATGGATTGTTGCAATCGCTTGCTTCCATCAGTCTCAATCAGCAGTGCAAACAGTTTCGCACAACTCGGATGTCGATGAGCTTTAAAAGTGTTCCAAAAGGAATATTTTCGTCGGTGAGTTTGTGAAATCTCAGTAGGTATACGGATTGACTAGAGATTCAGCAAAACGAAAACAGTTGCGCTATCTCATCCAATTAAATGCCGCAAAACGAAATACATGGATCGCGAGGCCTGCTCGTATAAATCTTCCTATTTAATTAGATAATTAAGAACGTCGAATGGTTGTATAGCTATTATCGGGATTTAATTATATCGGGTCGGATCAATGGTATATCAATGCTGTTAGCCAAACAACAAGGCATTGTTAAAATACCGTCGGTGTCGACATAATGAGCCTCTGTTCCTATATAAATGCACGCATTTTACGGTCTCTCTTCGCCATTTTTAGCCTTGCGCTGGATGGAAATAACTATCTACAATGCCTAATTAAGAGGAACGGGAGATATTGCCTATGCTGACATTTCTTTTCCTTTTGTTCTCGGTGCTTTCAATGAAATATGTAATATTCCATAAGTGTATATGTTTACTTTGATATTAGTTTTTGATTTCATACCATCAGAGAGAGACCGAACATGAGGCTAGAGATGAGGCTAGTGTATAAAGACTCGAAATGGGAGGAAGGTGAGGCCACCATTTATTTTCGTTATTATTTATAGTGATATTTTGTATAGTTTTCGCTTGCGAATCCCATTCATGACAGTATTGAAATGAGATTATAATATGTATTATGAAATTAACTAATAAATATGTTACATCTGTTTAATCCGTTCAAACCAGTCAATCTTAAGTACACAATATATTTTTATATCACTTACATTGTGGAGAGTAGTTGAGCTTTCAGTTTCTTCTTGAAATCGATAATAGAATCGTTGGAATCGTGGAAGCCATGTATAAGAGAAGCTATGTATACACAAGGTATGGTGAGCGTAAGAAATTTTGACAGCAGCCCATATTCTGAAACTTCTGAATAAAACTGAATTTAATGAGTTGTTGCCCATTTCCACTAGAATTCTACTACTGTCAAGGCCATCCAGCATACCTTCTCGTCATTATGATAAAGTTGGTCGCGTTAATGCCGACACAAATTTTGACAGTTGACAATTTCATAATGTCGCAGAAGAGCTGGTCGAAATTTGGGACTGTGTTGTGAGTTAGTTTATGAGGTAAGCAGATGTACCTTTTTTTTTATTCATATTGAAGTGTATCGAGATCATACTTATAGGTAGATTGTTAGGGAGTTACTATCAGATGCGTTTAGATGCCTATTTTGGGAAATCATCAATGATTTCAATGCGTTCCAGTTTTTCCATCAAATACTCGATCAAATACAAAGGCTTCAGGGTGAATCAGGTCTCATGAATGTGTTGAGAATTGGATTTAGCGTAGCTTCTAAGTATCTCGAAGTGACTGGCTAATCTCATCAAATTTACGAATACCCAATGAGAACCTCATACATGAATGTTGTATCCTTCGCAAACACATTTCGATGTCATTTCGGAATTGTTCGATTTTGTTAGAGAAACGCATCACCTTCAACTGAGCTGAGATAAACAGTTAAAGAGATATTTGAAACAAAATAGGAATTTGCCTAGTAATTTTTCATCATTTTCAGTAGTATGAAATAACAAATGTTTTCGTTTTTTTTCTGCATGAAATATAACTATTTCTGTTCAGTTAGGGAATGATATCGTGATGGTATCAAATCTATACTCACCACCAGAATAAGATTTTTGAAATTTTGATGATGTCCGTATCTCAGTTATTATTTATATATTTATTTATTTATTTATTAATTAACAGACAAGCCAATTATAAAATTTACGAAAAGAAAGTATAAAAATACAGAGCACGTACATATTATTAGACTAACACAAAAAAATGTAGAAGGCTAAAACGAATAGAAAGATGAAGATTATGAAAAGAGTGATTAACAGTTTTTTATCGCTTTCCAGAAAGACAATAAAGATGAATTGAATAGTTAAATTTGGCAATTGTGTGTATTCGCTGTTTTCATAATTCTATTCATGGATTCATTTTGGCCATAATCTTGAAAATGTCACTATTTGTGTTTTTTCTAGTATTTGCGGAAAGCGTAATCAGAGCCACAATTTCAGGAGAATCAATGTAACCATTGATAATTTTATGGAGGAATAACAGATCAATTTCCATTCTTCTATTTATGTATCAACGTATTCATGTTTAAAATATCTAATATTTGTGGATTGGTATATTCATCCCTATTTAATCCCATGTGATATGCAAAATTCATTTTGAGAACCCTCTGAAAGATCAGAATCAACTTTGAAAAATGGTGACCAGATCAAAGTATCATATTCAAGAATAGACCTCACCTGTGCACAATAAATAATGATTTTAACAGCATTAACAGATAGTTCTTTAGCAGAACGCAGAACGGAGGGAGAAGCCTAGCATTTTACGGGCACGAGATGATGTTTCTATTATGTGATGTTTGAAGGACATTTTCGAGTCGAATATTACTCCTAAGTCTTTGATTGTATTGGTTACTGACTGATTAGTATTATTAACTCTGTAAATATGACCAATAGCATCATGACTTCGTGAAAATGTTATCTTTTGACATTCATTCAAATTCAGTTTTAATGAATTAATATGGCACCATCTGGAAAAGTTATTTAGATCGAGCTGCAAACTCTAAGCATCAGAAATGCATTGAACCGTTTTAAACATCTGCAGGTCATCGGCAAACATCAAGAAGGAACTGTTGATGATGACATCAGAAAAGTCATTAACACTAAGATTAAATAACAGAGGTCCCATGTGAGATCCCTGTGGTACACCTGATGGTACTTCAATTGGTTGTGAAACTGAGCTCCTATTTCACATATTGGACTCTACTAGTGAGATAGCTTCTGATCCAACTCAAGAAATTCGCCTCTATTCCCAAAGCTTCAAGTTTTGCAAGTAACAGACTATGGTTAACTCTATCAAAGGCTTTAGAAAAGTCTGTGCAAATAGAGTCTACTTGCAGCTTATTCTCTAATGAATTGATGATATAGTTTTGATAAAGCAACAGGTTCGTTGATGTTGATCGACCCCTACAGAAACCACGTTGTTGGTTAGATATAATATTTTTGGAATCCCATGATAATTATCTAATGATCGAACAATCCAACATTTTCGGTAACTCTGACTGATTACAAATACCTCTATAATTGCTTACATCCTCCCGTGAACCACTTTTATGAATAGGTTTGACAAAACTGTGTTTCTAGTTGTTAGGTAACTTCCCCTTCTCAAGAGATGAATTGATCAGCAAGTGAATAGGTTTTGCTGAAGTATAAATACATTTTCTCATCAAATATAAAGGGATCTCATCTGGGCCAGTTGACAACTTCAAAGGTAATGACAGTACCAAATCAATAACTTCTTTGATATCAATAGTATAAGTACAAACGTCAACAGTAATATTGAAGTGATAGTGAGGGATTTGGTTAATTGTTGTATTGTCGTAAACGGTCGAAAAATAGTCAGAGAACAGATTAACTATTTCATCACAATTAACGTCGTGTCGGTTCAATTTCGAAACACCCTGTGATATCTATGATATTAACGCACTGTCTCGTTAAGGATAAAAGTCTGTGCATTAGCTAAAATGAGGCGGAAAAATTCATCGTGCACCAACCTGCATCATATCCGCCGTTCCTTCCTCAATCCCTGCTGCGCCGCGGCCTGCCCACCTTGCCCTTCCTGACCGCCGGCGGTGCGGCCGCGCTCTTCAGCAGCTTGTGCCAGTCCTGCTCGCACACCAGGCTGCCCGACAGCATGTAGTACCGGTCGCCCGGCACCAGAGGGCTCAGGCACTTGCTGCACATGAAGCACTTGAGGTGGAAGACGTGCGGCGGCGCCTGCATGGGCGGCTGCCCCGGATTTGAACCGGAGCCGCTGCGCATGACGAGCTCGTTGGCGGGGATGGACTGGCCGCACGCCGAGCACGCGCCCGAGTTGCCGAATATCCTGCGGGACCATTAAGGGTACGGGGACCATTAAATCTCTATTATCACGGGAAAGCGAACAAGACTATTGCTAGTTAGGCTACAGTACTAGTTGGCACGTGTGCGTTGATTCGACGTTCATTCAAAGTTGAATATAGGGTATTCGAACGGGGATCCCAGGATCCTGAAATAACAAGATCCTGAAAACTCTGAGATCCCGGAAGATGTTTTTTCAGCTATTTTAATATAAAGGAAGTAAATTCCATTTTCTCCCGCGTGTGAACTTTGATGCACGACGCGTAGCGGAGGGCTTCAAACACACATGGGAGGAAATGGGGCTATAAACACACATGGGAGGTAGTGAACCTTTGCTCCCAAGATATACAGGGTGTTTAAAAAAAACCTAACCCCCTTACTAGGGTAGGTTGAACATTGCAAAGTAAGTTGGGTTTGCTCAGTGAAAAAATGTCGTAACGGCATCCATTTTCAAGATACAAGGTGTTGAAAAAATATTTGTTTGCACGATTATGTCGAACCTACTGGCAACACTGTGATGACATTTTGTATGGATGTGTTCTGAAAGCTGACACACCGCATGAATTAGTTTTTATATATGACACTCATAGAGGGCGCTAGTTACATCCTGTGTAATGTTTTCGAAATTATTCGATTTGAAAATGCTGAAGCAATAACTCTGATTCTAGTATTAGAATGAGTATTATAAAAAACAATAATTATTATTTATATAGAGGACCAAAAACATTAACATTATTTTACTGCTGAAGTTATCGATCAAACAAAATCGCATCAGATCATTTTCAATTAAATTTGACTAAAAACATCATCTAGCTAGAGTAAAATAGTATTCAAAATGTCCTCCGTTTTCACGAATACACAATTCGATGCTTTTTTCTAAAGAATGCATCAATTTTCTCAACGGTTGAGGATCAGCTATGAGATCATCGAAGTGATGTTCAATTATGCTTTCTTGCAGCTCTTGACGTGGTTATTAATAAATAAGTAAATAAGTAACAGTCTTTTATAATACTTATACTTTCAACTAGCGCCAGTGTTATACTTCAGCATTTTCATATCGAAATATCCTGAAAACGGTACACAGCATCAAGTTTTACCAAGAGCACCTTTCTAGTGTTAAATTGAATGATGCTCAAGTTCACATCAAATTTGGACTGAAATATTTAACCTCAAAAAAGTTATGTTCAAAAGTACTCGGTACGAACCGTGTAACTAGCGCCCTCTATGAGTGTCAGATATCAAAGCACATCCATACGAAATTTCATTACAATGTTGCCAGTAGTTTCAACATAATCGTAAAAAATGTGTATACAAAATATTTTTTCAACACCTTGTATCTCGAAAACGGATGGTGTTACGACATTTTTTTTCTGAGGAAACCCAACTTATCTTGCAATGTTCTACCTACCCTAGCAAGGGGATTAGGATTTTTTGAAACACCCTGTATATATAAGTATGATTTTATCTACAAACACATACATTCGAGAGCGTCGTTCTTAAAACTGTGCTTCAAGCGGTCTATTTCTCGAGTGTCGATCCAAATTATTAATGTGTTACATCTAAGGTTGCAGACGAATCTGAATGAGAATCAATTTGACATTGACACTTCTGTCACATTGAATTTATTTATTGTGTAATTGCATCTCATTTGAAGTTTCGATTGAGTAAGTTTGGAACATGAGGAGATGTATAAGAACATTGGAATTCAAAAATGAAATTGTTATTTGTTTCATAGTAGTGATGGAGACACTGTTCAGGGACTTGGGTGGCACAAATCTTATCTCTACCAAGGAAGAAAGAAGCCAATTTCTATTACCTCCCATGGGAGGCCGAAAAAAATCTATAATTTGCTGTTATCTGTTACAGCCGTAGAAGAAGTATAGTGTTCGACTCGCACGAAATGCTATTTTACCACTGATTTGCCTACGGCTCATGCTGCAAACTTCATTCTCGTGGGAAATTACCGAGGAAATTACTATCATTGCGTGCTCGTTAAACGATATACTATTCCACCAGAACTATAGAACCTACCATACTTTACTATTTTTCGAAGCGTTTCAGTCCCACAGAACTATAATGATTGAATTCTCGATTGAAATATTTTGCTATTTGTAAAAAAACTCAATATACAACGGCTAGAGCCTCAGGATATAATATTGGTCCCTGGGTGATAGTGATATTCTTTACAACCTTTGTGGTATCAATTGCACTTTTCATTGAAATTTCCATCACTATTTCTGTTTCTATTGACCAGTATCAGTTTGAAATTGATAGAGATATAGTGTTCTTCCATAGGAGAGTAAATGATTTCATAATTTAGATTGAATATTTTATAATAATTATTGGTTCACTCTGAATGAAATAAAATTCATATAAAAGCATTTCAATAAGGTCTGATAAGTAGGCGGGTCGTGGGAGTAATTTCATGAATGAATAACATCATTTGATAATATGATAATTCTCGACATAATTCTACGAGCAGACTCCAAATATATCAATGATTTCATGAAACATAGCAATGACTATTATACGCATCAGTAAATCTCCATAATAGATACAAACATATTTAGAAAAATCCTTGGACAGCACGATTTTAATTTTTCGTATAATTATATCACGTAGAATTTTTCAACAACTCCTCCTATCCTGAAAGCCCTTTCGAAAGTTTTAACACATCATTAGAAAGATATATGAATTTCTATACAACGGTCCTCTTTTATTTTTAATTCTGACTGTAATAATGACCTGAATGCGCAACTTTTCGCCAATTTAACCTGATTCGTATCTGCTTCCGATTCTTAAATCCCCATGCTGTACAACCTCACATTGTATACACTAGAGCGACCAAATTTTGAAAATTTAAAAAGGGTACATATTCAGTATCAAATGAAAGGCAGGCGAATTTTTGTCATTATTCAAGGTCAAATGCCTTTAAATTGAAAATTAGATTTCCTCCTACCTCTGAAATAACTGCCAACTGACTATTTCCACCAATATCATGAGTCGAAAAACGGAAAAAAATCGTCCAACCGTTTCAACGTGGTCTCAATCAACAATCAACATTGTACACAATACAAACAATTAACAGTTATTGATAAACGATTTAAACATAACCCTAATATTTTGAAGTAGCCTGAGATTCAAGTTCGAAACATGAATAAAAAAAAGATTAGCTGGAAAGTGACACTATAATATCACACAGGGTATAGTTCATGCAAAGTCAGTTGGAAAAAGACATCACCGCAAGCCGTCGGTCCCTTTTAAAGTTCATAGCGTGCGGCAGCGCGGCCTGACATTCGTTTGATGATCTGTTCAACAGACTTTGCATGAACTTCACCAAAAACTCAATTTGAAAAAAACAGAGAACATCGGATGCATCGGTCTCCGAGTTATGAATCAAATTTCTTTCTATCCTGATCTTTTCTAAAATTTTTAATATTCTTGTGCAATCTTATTCTCAAATTTTGACTATGAACCGTCTAAACGGGTTTGATTTCAAAAAAGAGGACATTTAGACAAATAGAGTACGAGGACAGCAGCCTCGAAACAGAGTACATGTAGTATATAAAGAGTACGTCTGGTCACCTTACACTGTATATTCGAAAGTATAGTAGGTGCGTTCGGTTATAACATATCTGTTAGCTCGATTCCATCTGTTAGCTCGGAAAGCGTTCGATAAATCAGATCTACTTCCTCTGTCTAATCTGCTCCGTGTTCGTTAATTGTCAGAGCGAGCTGAAAGATGTAATCTGTTTGCTCCGCCTTGAGGAGCAGATCATTCAGATTTGATCGGTTATTCGGTTGTCAATTGTCAACAAATCAATGTCAACAACATGTTATTGAAATTATATCTCTTTTATGACGAAAAATTGAAGACTCGATCAACTGGAAACGAAACACAAAACTGAATTTTGTAGAATCCTCATTGCCCAGAATCGCCAGAATGACCGACGAATTTGCTGTAGGTAGCATATTAATTATATATCTGTAATATATGCGATCACAACTGCCCTGGATCCACAGTTAATGACCGATCATATTAGACAGAATCATTCCTTCCCTAGTAATTTTCAAAATATAAACAACAAACATTCAAAAAAACTTTGTTGCCCTGAAGTGTTTTTAAAAGTAATAAGGTTAGGTGAATTGTTTCTGTTTTGTGTTACTTCTGCAATCTGCAATCTACTACCTCGTTGAGCGTTCGTTAAATATCTTTAGCTCTATCTGCTAGGTGATCACGTGACACCAAATCTGCATCTGCTCGCTCGGCTCCGATTTTGTTAAACCGAACGCACCTAGTAAAGTGAAATTATAAATCCGTGACCTGTTCATAAAAGATGAACGAACAGATGACTTGAAATGTTTTCCCGTAATTTCATTACACCATAGGAACTATGACATGGACGTATAAACAAAGAAGGACCCATTTATTTACATCGTAATGTGAAGTCAGAGAATACGGTCACAGTATACCACCTGATCTTGAATTGGAGGTTGTCACGTCCTGTCGCTAATAATTCCTAACCTCAGTCTAATCCTCTCAAGTATTTGTACTTACCTCTTTTGTAATCATCTATTCCATTAGATGTTCATTTTGATCCAATTCATAGAACTCAAGGAATAAATCATATGTCCATAGATAGTCAAAATCAAATATTATAAAACTGTCGTTATACATTATTTCAAAGTTATTCTGTAAAGGTTACCGAGATTATACACAACCGACAACGCCGCTGCAAAACAGGCTCGTTTCGTGATCCTTCGTGCTTTCGACGAGTTCGGCGTTGTTCGTTTATGTTTATGTGTTCGAGGAAGTTCATTGTTTTCGTTGTTTTTGAGTGAATTTTCTTATTTTTCTTGTGAAAAGTTGATAGACAGAGACTAATAATAGTGTTACAGTGCTGGATTTGCGAAAAAACAAAGTTTTAATACCCAAATTTCACGTTCCATTCGTAAGTACCAGTTAGTAACTGTTAGCTATGAATG